AATTTTGGATGATTCTAAACAGCGCTTCCTACGTTGGGAGGAAGTCGATCTAGAACATTGTAGCGGGAATAACTTCACTATATGCCACGTCGATTCAAAAGTGCTTAGTACCACGATTTTAACTTGGGGATCCAGCGTGTTCTTTCAGAATGATGAAGTCAGAATTCTATGTAGACGTCGATAAATGCATTCACAATTCTCCCCCGTCCTAATCAGATATCCGCTAGATTGGATATATAGTCAAGGCGACCAACAGCAACATGTGAATTTCAAATGCTTTGTAAACAACACGTGGGTTACGAGCAGCCTAATATTACAAGGTAATGGAGTGTTACATAATTCCACCGTTTGCCGTTTAGATGGACGTCAGTTTCAACTGTATCCTCCGTCACAAGGCCGCACCAACATAGCAACTCCTCACCAAGGAAATATGGTATTGCAACACATTGATCCATTGACCTCAGACGAAGTTCAGAAACTTCCGCACAGCACCAACACAGATGCCACGCAGTTAGATCATTTAGCATCTGAGGCTAAAGATGCCTTCATCGGGACATAAACATGATGACATAATTACACGAAAATAGTGTACGAGAACACAGCATCCATCATACAGCTTGGTACATAGTAATCTCTTCAGTTTTTCAGGAATTCTTTACACCAGAATAATATGTTACGGAAAACAAAAAAATATACACATGGTTATCACGTATTATCATCCGTCCTAAGAAATGTAAAAAATACGATCCATACAGACTGCCCTCTTCCAAATTCCGAGAATCCTTTGGCCGAAGCAACTTCATTGGCAAAAATTAACTAATGATATTCAGCTATAAACAAATTATAAAACTTTTGTTACCTACTGATCGCAGTGTTTTGCGTAATATCTCCAAATAAAGAGACGAAGAGATGCCTCAGAAGAAGGTGAATGCCAATAACACAAAAATATAATTTTTTTTTTGAAAGTATGGCCGACTGCCTGCAACGGAATATACCGGACTTTGTGATGATATGAAGTTCCGAAGAGGTAACAACAGACATCTTTCACGAGCTGACGCTTCGACACGCACTGCACAGAAAACGAACTATTCGCTACGCAGACACGCAGGATATTAACTGTTACAGAGGGAATGTACAGGTTAGAAGCCAGCCAACTGAAGTAAGAGGCCAACACAGATTCAGGTTCTCAGAAGAACTGGGTGTACAAGAAATTCATACACCTAGAAACAGCCTAAATTATGCATAAATTACAAGTTACGTATAAAGTGTGTATGTGAATTCAGAAAACGTTGCAGGGCATACAAACTATATAAAAGCATCATAACAATGAACTGTATGTGTGAGATTTATTTTATTGTGAGAACATTTAAAACAGAGATCTGATATTTTTAAGAAAATTTTTTATTCGTTCCAATTTTTGATGTGAAGAACTTTGTAAAATGGAGTAAGATTGCAAAGAATTTTTTATGATAAGGAAAGTTCGGACAATTTCCATTTTAAAAATGTGGTAATTTTAGAGAATTAACTTTAGTTAAGACGCTGTAAAATTAAGAACGTAAAGATTTTGAGTTGCATAAAATTAAGTATAGAGGTTGTCCGCGTTTTTCTGTGTTGTGTTGTCCAGTGTACACGTAGAGGCCTTGCGACGGGCCGATCCCTCTTCCAAGGAGTCCTACCGAATGTCTATAGATCGAGCCAACGAAAAGTTGGGACCCGGTGCTCAGGCACTTGAAGAACGGGTCGATCCTAGTATCCCAGGTTATTAGAATTGCTCTTAATATGTATTAAGAATGTGCAAATGTCATCTCCTGGCATTGATACAAATAGGAAAGGCTAACTCACCTTTCTCTATGGGGAATACAAAAAATAAACAGTGAAAATGCGGACGTAGCCATTAAGCAGCTAGCAAAAAAGAGAGAGAGAGAGACCGGAAACGTTTCAGGACAGAATTGGGAGACAGCGCTGAAACTGTCAAGAAGTTACGAGGTCGCTGAAGCCATGGGGCAACTGGACACTGATCGGGCTATTGGCTGCAGGTAAGAGAGCTGGGGTGATGACTCCGATTCAAGTACGGGTACTTCGGCAAATCTTTCAAAATTTGCGAAACCCAAGTTTTGTCTAGTAGATAGTGATGTTATAACCAATCTATAAAACAATCAATAATGTGTAGTGTTGTTGACTGAGCTGCAGTTGATGGGTGAAGTAATTATTCACTGTAATTTAAATTCGTATCTGCGTACTGCATTGATAATTTATGCCAATAATACGAATGGGGTTCTGTAAATGTTCATGAATTAGGGAAATAGATTAACGCAATACATATGTAATATAAGCTGTTCAAATTAAGTTTGAAAGCGAAATTTACACAATTTGATGCCCACAGTATCAGCCAGCATTAAGTCATGTAATCTATAATTAAACCCATCCATGTTAAGGACGACTTATGTCAATTTTAAATAGAGACAATATGCTCTGAATCACTTTAATGCTTATTAATCCTTTCACAGTTATGGTATCACACATTACGCCCTGTAACCTCTTCAGATTCGAAAGTCATTCCTGAAATAACAAACAGTTCAAACACTGGACCGACGACTTTAAGGCCGATGGCAAAAATGTGCTCAAGGTATGATTTTCTAGTGTCCCCCGACTGCTTTCATATAATTGGAGAAGAACTGACTTCAGCGATGGTGAATCGTGTAGCGACGTTTCGGAGTTGATTACTATCTCCATCATCAGGGTGATGAGATCTGATGATGGAGGCATCAAGAATCCCTGAAACGTCGATAAATCTCTACTAGACTACAAGGCACAACATCCCAGAAGCTACTATTATACTCACCTTTTACTTATGCAGCTACGAGACGGAAATTTTGGCTTAGTTATGCTTATTTCGGCCTATGCTTATTTCTTATAGTTTACTTCGTTCAAAATCGGCATGGTAATACTAAACTGCATCTTAGGAAAACGGGATTGATTGGTGTAGACTGGATTAGTCTCGATCAGAACAGGGACCGTTCTGGTTTCGTTTGAATAAAATATCAACCAAAGGCAGCAAATTTCTTTACGAGCTAGCATACTATTAGCTTGTCAATAAGAACTCTGCTACGTGAAGTTAATATTGCACAGTGGAGTCCAGTTTACGTTTCAGAAGTTGGATATAATCTTGTCTTCAGGTTGTTTGGTTTATAGTCCTTTTTTGCGACGTAACTGTAAAACTTCTAACTAGAATAAGGCTCTTTGCAGAAGAGATAACTCGGTTGTACAGACACTGGCAGATTTTATAATATGAGCAGAAATGGAACGAAATTAATGTGAAGAAAAATATACTAAAGCTCAGTACTAACCTCTAAAAACAAGACGCAATATATACTAGTCACATTAATATTACTGAACGTTACACATTTTTTAAGCTACGGACTCAGAAAATAAAGTAAACCCCAATAAAATATAGCATATTTCCGCTTAGATAACGTACATGTGATCTGTAACTCATTCTTAAGGCAAACATTTTTTTTCTGAAAGAATTTCAATCGTAGAATATATTTTAAACCGAAAATCGCCACAGATAAAATATGTCTGTTTTTTGTGGCTTCGATATACAGAACGATACCTACGTATATGTATAAAACGAATTTTTAAAACTATGGATTTTTTAAAAAGTCTGATTTTGACCGAATTCTTTTCTTTTCTCACGAGAAATTTGTTAATCATCCTATAGTAATAATTATGGAGCAGTAAGATTTTGTGTCCGGCATTTTTATCTCCCTTTCATTCTTTATAGAACGAATATTCATATGAGGTCTAAAATGTCTCTGGCTTGAATAAATATCGCGCCTACATGTAGCCACTTAGAAACAATTTTGTAACTGTGATGTAACACCCCTTAAATCGTCGATTAAAGTCAATTATATTCTGAGATATTATTAGACGAAATCACGTATAACGATAAACAACAATTGGGAGAAGAAAAAAAATCCGTAAAAGGACAGTGGGTGTCTACGTGAATGCGCTCATGTTAGTGCCTGCTATTAAATAGAATGGTAAAGACTCTAGTTCCGTTTCTCGCCACATAACCAATGATCTTATTTGGGATATGGCAAGGGATGCCGCATTTGACAGTGTCACTGACACAACGCTTACCTGCATATAAGTTCTATATAATTCCGTACAATTAATTTGATGATATACAACAAACAGAAAATTCGACTGTAATGAAACAGTTATGAAGGAGGGGGAAAAAATGAAGGACTATGTATATAGAATGGGTGAATACATACGGCAGAATATAACGTAAATACATAAAAATATAGTACTAGCAAGACAGGGCTATAAAGGAGACGCCTGAAACATGTTTCTGAGGAAGACGCAAACACTAAATTAAAAATTTGTTCCATCTGTTAAGACTTCTAAGTATCACGTTATAAAGTACACGAGAGAACAAACAAAAATATCTTGCTAATTGAAATAAACATCAAATTGTCTAATGTTTAGTCTTATTTCAACAAATGCTATAAACTGGCGTTATATTAGTTAAAAAATCAATTCATTACGCTTGAAACAATATAATCTGTCACCTATTCTCACCTAACATCGCTGCCGATTGGGTAGCAACCAGGTTCTCTTTGCAGCCAATCACGTACATAACCTCCCGCTCGCTACCTACTGGGTCGTCTATATAAAGTTTTTAATCCCATACATATTCGCCATAAATATGGCAATTACAATGTTCATCGAACCGTTCTAAAGCCTTCAGTATTCGACGGCTTATTCCCGAAAGCTAAAGTAAAACGTAGTATAATAATCTATGTTTTATATGAAGCAAACAAATGTTCATAAAATGCGACCCGCGAAATCTGAAAACATTTACACAGCAGTACAATGTTGTGCGTTGGTATGAATCAGCCACAGTTTCTGATCGCAGATTTTCCGCTGAGAAGCAACGTTTATTGGCTTACAAATATGAAACTGGAGTTTTGAAATAAAACTGAAAGACTCACCAACATTGTTGCTAGGCAACGCCAGTGCGAACAGCGCTCCCACAAAGGCCAGAAGGCAAAACATGGCGACAGGCGAGCCTCACATCACACACACAGTCCCCTGGAAACCATACTGCAATGCAAACAAGACAGAATCATGGTTTGTTTTGGCCCAATAAACATAAAGTCCCAAAACGATACAGCATAATGCTGGCATGTAATTGTTATGTATATATTTCTGGACACTCTGTATATAATAAATACGTTTTTTAAAAATAGGATTTATGACTTCAAAACTTATTCCTCTAAAATCCACTTTAATATTATCCTTCTAACAATTAATAATTTTCGTTTTAAGTTTATATATTGGTATACGCATTTTACTTGACAGTCATTCATAAGATAGTGTAATTGCGTCATATTGTGAATAGTCTAACACTAGACTATTCACAATATGACGCAATTACACTATATTATTATCCTTCTATCTATATCTCCTACAATATATGATTCACTAGAACACAGTAATTTTAGTAGCAAAAAGCACAATTATTTAAGCCCCATTATTAAATTTTCTTGAGTCTATTTTAGTACTTTACCGAAGTAGCTAAGTTCTTTAAGATACGAAATGTAATCTTGATACAACATTACTAAGTATTTCAGTTTACATAAATAACACTCATTAAAATGCAAGAACATGTATTGAAAACAATGTGTTGACACCAAAACCACCTCAGAAATCTGACGCAAAAGGAACACTGAGAAAATTACAAAACGTGGAGCTTCGCAATTTGAATTCCTCACCAATTAATCACAAAGTCATTAAATTAATAAAGACCAGACTTTTGGGACATGTAGAATACGGAAGGAAATAATAACAACAGAAGAAACTACTTGTGAGATATAGGATTAGTTAGAAGGATAATATTAAAATTAGTCTATAATAGTAGGAACGTTTGTTTATCCTAGATACAACTCACTGAAGACATGATTAAGTAATTCTTGGTATAATTGTAATGAATCTCTGGATTACAAAAACAATAAGTGTTAAACAAGAAGTTTCTTTATCAGGTGAATGAGTGTCAAATGTTGAAGGCAAGCTACGAGTATATACAATAGGATAGCATACCGCCACATCAAAGTACGTTTCCTGAAACCAAGAATTGATAAAGCACCTCTCGCATCTGAGTCGTGCTTTGTGTAGCATTCAACGCGTCATGAAACCTCAGCAAGCTGACACCTCTTAGAGTGACCTGCTCCAATTGATTGCTCAAAGTAAAATGTCATTAACAGCAAACATTATTCTAGAGCTCTCGTCTATCTTCTCAAGGAGTTATCCGATGCTGATGGTGATCCAGCTGGCTGGCGTATTCTCTGAACAACTCGTTAGCATTCTGCCCCTTCCTTCGATTTACTTTGCGTCATTAAGACAGCAGGGAGAACGCAGCGCGGATAATTTATGTCGCTGTGAATCAGTAATGAACTAACAAAAGTATGAGCAATCTATCTAAGGCGCGTGTCCATAATTATACTGCAGAATCCCCTATCAATTCTTAATGAGGAAAAATGTTTTATTATCTACCGACTTACCTGCCTACATATCTTTCAACCCAATCAAATCTATCCATCTATCATCAACCTATCCAACCCATTCATCTATCAAATTTACCTGTTACCCATTTATCTACCTATCTATCTGTATGTATATCTATACATAGAATAGAAATTATAACACAAGATATTACGTATAAGATATATCCGTTCAGAACACGATAAAAATTTTTGTTGTACCAGTACCAGTTTACACAGTCATATAACATTATTTATCCTTAGCAGCACGTGTCTCAGCTAAATGCTATGTACCGAAATATAATACATAAGCTAGAACCGAAACAATGTCATGAATATCTAATACATATTATGTTAAAATTTTTATTCACAGATTGTAACAGACTTATAACTTACATATTCTCACTATATATTTTTATTTATTTATGGTTAATACGTTGTATACTAAGATGGCTGTCTTCTGGGTTGTAGCGCCGTGAAATATGGTAGAATTTGATCGACGTTTCAGAGGTGGTTACTGCATTCATCTCCAGGACAATGGTGATGGAGGCAGCAACGACCTCTGAAACGTCGGCAAACGTCTACCAGACTACACGGCGCTACAGCCCAGAAGACATTCATCTTGGTACCCACGGCTTTTTAGAACCTCAAATCCTATTTTGTGTACTGTTCTCTTTTTATATTGCTGTGTTAGTTTTATCATATAATAACAGCAGTTGCATATTTTGACTTGAAACTTTTACGGTGAATGAATAGGATTTTCTCGGGCGATGACATGTGTCAATGTTTATTAAAATTCCAGAGTTTAAAAAACTAACACTATTCCCATATTCAATGCAAGATCAAGGAATTACTTAAATAGTTGATATACAAAAACACAGGGTGTCCCAAGAGGATATATACACACAACCATTGCATACGTCAACACTGTGTATATATCGTTTGGGACAACCTATATATATATATATATATATAAGCGATTTTAACAATTTATCAAGCTTGCGCTAATATATCGAAAAATAATATGTACACTGAGAATGTTTAAAAGACAAATTGAATTTCCCAATAGTAAGCATCGCCGATCACAAAACGATTTCTGCACTTTGGGTTTCTGCAGTTGGATCGTCTACTGAATCCTCTCCGAAGGGCGAGGCGGATCAGAGCTCCCTCGCGGCTAATGAGGGGTCGGGGCTCGGTGACAGCAGTCAAGGCCCTAAATGGAGCCATCACTTGTCTTCAATTTGGACAATCATCAGAGCTGCATGTTATGGTAATCTCATGGCTGGATGATATCGAAAATTCAGCAGCTTTCGCGAACGATCTGTGTTTCCGATACGTGAATGAAAGTAATTTCATAACGTCAATAAAGTACTATCTTTTCCATCCACAATGTTAACTTCATTAACCCTTTTGAAAAGGAACCTCGTCTAAATAATATTTAAGAATTCAGTCCATACCGCAAAGAAAACAAAACACTTCATCGATTTGGAAAAAAAAACTGACTGTTTACACTGAGAATCAAAGGCCCCCATAAATACAAATTACACAGTAACTGGTTCTTAAGGAATGTGGTACACACACATTTCCCACAGGGCTTTAGAGAATTATCTACTTTAACATAATTCTCCTAAAATATACTGTACGTATTTCCCACCCCCATGGATGCTACATTTCTTTCCCCATTTCCCAATTGTCGAAATGCTGTATGGGATACCGAAGAAAAATTTATACCAGCAAACGAAAATCCTGATCTGTGATGGGATTTATTTCAGTCAGTAACCGGATCTTTCTTTACTATACATAGAAATACATAAAATAAGATTTAGCCTGGAATACGGAGTATCTTTTGTGATGCAGGCCTGCTGGTAGTAGTACGATGAAGGCTCAACACCGCGAGGAAGATAACGTTAACCAATCTGCAGCGCCGGCTGGCGAAATCCTCTGTATCTCCTCACAAATCTGCCTTCCTGTTCCTCTTCGTCTTCCTTACACTCTTCATCTCTTCATGACAAGTTTTATCTCTCAGTGTAGTGCTGTGTTACTGGTGGCCCACCCACCCTC